TGCTGAGCCAGAACTGACTCATAGCCAACCTTTCAATATGTTTTCAGAGGCTGTAAATCAAACTTGAAGTGGTTGCTCACTTTTCTCCTGAGGACAGCTGGTGGATTTGAACTGCCTGCCTGTGTTGACACAGCAGCTCTTTACTCGCTGGGCCACTAGCACTCTCTACTGAGGGACTATTGTTATATACTGTAGAGTCACAAACAACCCATAGCTGACCCTCCCCAGGTTTTCAGAGGCAGTTAATTGCACAAGAGTCAATTGCCCATCTTTCTCCCAAAGAGCAGCTGGCAGTTTTGAACTGGGTGCAGCTTCTTACCATAAAGCCACCAGAGAGAAAGGTGAACACCACACAGCCTCTAAGGAAATCTGGTGGTGAGGGTGGTAGGTGTGGCCGCAGCTGTGAGTTGATGCCAGAATACATGTTTTGGGGGCTCTTGAGGTCATATGCAGCTGAGGGTGGATCAGGAACCAAGAGTGACTTCATGGAAGCCCTGGCATTTGAACTGAGTCTTCAGGCTGGGCAGGGTAGCCCCGGACAGAGATTGACTATTTGAAATGACATCATACAGAGTGAGTTGCATGCACTTAGAGATGGCCAAGTGCAATGTGTGTCCAGCTTTCCTGAGGGTACTGATAATTAACACTGGGTACTTGGTATGCATAGGCAGATTATCTCATCTTTTTTTTTAAATTTTTAAAAATAATTTTAATGAACATTTACAGAGATTTTGGATTTCCATTCATTCATTGCTGCACTTCTCTCCTCATCTCATCTTTTATAATACAGATTTGAAAACTTTTTCTGTAAAAGGCTAGAGAATAAATACTGAGGATTTGCTGGTCAAGAGTTATCTGTAATAGGGTTCAACTCTCCCTTTGTTGAAGAAAGCAGCCATTGATAATGAATGGGGATGGTGGTGTGTTAATACAACTTTGTTTACAAAAACAGGTGGTCAGCTGGATCTGGTCTCATTATAGTTGGCCAACTGCTGCCTTATTTTTGGCACAGTCCCCTTACATAGAGGATAACATTGAGATCCAGAAAGATTAAGTAAATAGAAATTAATTTGCCAACTTGAGGATCAACTTGACTCTGTTCCTTTTCAAAATCCTCCCCTCTTCTCCCCCCCCCCACACCCCCCCATACACAATCAAAAGGCAGGCTATGTCCTAGTCTGAGAGGATGGATGGTGAGACTATCTTGAATCACAATATTAGGTTTGCCTTTAACTCACAGGGAAGTGGGGGACTATTAAAGATTTTTTTAATTTAATTTTTTATTATTTCTTTGTGTGTGTACCGTCAAATCAGATCTGACTGGTTCAGGAGGAGATTGCCCCTCCTTCTCCAGCAGAGCATCTGGTGGATTTGAATCATGTGCTTCTGGGATTGCAGTGCAACTTCTTGCCACTAGGCCACCAGAGCTCCCTTAAGAAAATATGGTTTTTACTGCTGCTATTTGTGTGCTACCTGCAGAGCAGCAGGTGGATTCTAACCATGAGCCATTGGGATCGCAGCCCAGATTCTTACCACTAGGCCGCTAGAGCTCCCAAAGATTTTTTTTTTAATAGGTGATAAGATTAGAGCTGAGCTCTGGAGAGATTAATGTGGGAGTGGAGTGTGGGTGGGTAAGAGAAGTGTTTTTGATTGTAAACAATTTGTAGAGAAGTTCATTCTGGCACGGTTGTTTTTGATCACAAATTTCTGGGGCAGAATGTCATGCTTGGTCAAGTACAGGATCAACAAAAAGGACGACAAACTTTAACCAGGTGGAGCGATCCAGTGCCACAACAGTTACAAGGGAGAGTGGGAGCAGGGATTGTTTTGTAGATTGGACCACTCTGAATTGGAACTGGCTGAACATATAATAATAACACAACAAAAATATCAATCTCAGACTCACTGCTGTTGAATCCCTTTCGACGTAGGTCCTTGTTAGGTGCCATTGAGTCAACTATGACTCAGAATGACGCAATGAACAGTACCAGATCTGAACCTTGCCCTATCCTGTTGAATCCATTGTTAATGACAAAGTGTCAGTTCCCCTTATAGAGTTTTTGAGTTTTATAAATTTTTCTGTTTTGTTTTGTTTTTGTTTTTTAAAAAACTACACTGCTTTATTTACAAAGTTTGAGTACATTGTTTTTCACAAGAGATTCTTCCTATTTCTTTTACACCCCTCCCACCACCCATCCTCACTTCTCTGCTTCCACCCCGCTCCTTGGATCCTCATACTCATTCTACAATAATGGTTTTATACAGTATTTGTCCTTGCGGGACTGAGTTATTTCACTCAGAATAATGCCTCTCAGTCTACAAGTCTTAATAGGAGGTGACTGCTCATCTTTCTCCCAAGGAGACTAAGCCCCTAATGGGGACTAACACAATGGCTAGAAAAGCTAATTTAAGGGTTCTGACACCCACAAGTGTTGCTGTTGTGTACTATTTAGTCAGACTGACTTACACCTGACCCTGTCAGAGGCAATAGGTTGCTCATCATCTTCTTGGGGAGCAGCTAGTGTACTCAAGCCATGCTGCCTCTAATTCATGGTTTCTCTAGGTATGTCTGAGTAGAACTGTGCTGCATGTTTTTTTAGCAGATTGCCAGAACTTTCTTGCATTGTGTCTCTAGGCAGACTCTAAGCTTCCAGCTGGCAGCCAGGCATGGTGTTGTGGTTGTTTACCATCAAGTCAGAAACAACTCACAGCTGACCCTCAAGCTGGTTTTCAGAAGCAATAAAATAGCATGGGAGAATTGTCCATTTTTCTCCCATGGAACAACTGATAGATTTCAACAGTGAGCCTTTCGGGTTGCAGCACAGGTTCTTATCACTAGGCTACCAGAGCTCCAGTGGACCCTAAGATAATTTATGGTGTCTACCATCAGCAACCACCACCATCAAGTCACTCCATCCAAAATGCAGGCTTGGTCTTGTGCCATTCCTCCTGGTGGATATGATTGTTGCTATTCCAGAGTCCCATTGATTGATTTTAGAAGTAGATGACCAAGCCTTTCTCCATAGTCTATATAGTTTATCATAGTCTGGAAGGTCTCCTGAAGTGCTTTCTGAAGGTGGGGCTGACCATTTTTTAGTTATGTCTGATTCTCCAGAAATACTTTAAAAATGAGTTGCTGTCACCTTGACTCCGATTTGTGACAATCCCATGTATGCTAGTGAAGAACTCTGCTCCCCTGGCTGACTTTGGAGAAGGATCACCAGGCCATTCTTCTGAAGCACCTCTAGAGGGACTGGAACCTCCACCCTTTCTGTTGATAGCTGCACACAGGAACTATTTTCACTACCCATAGATTCCACTGCTCTGTGCCTTTCCTGAAATTCCTAGTAGAGGTGCAGTGATGAACCTCATCATTTTGATGGAATTGTCTTGAACGTACCAGAAATGCCAAGAAAACAAGTAGAACTGTTTTGGAGAGACAAGTTTCTCCTTGGAGACAAGGATTCTGAAGCTCCATCTCACATATTTTAGACATGTGGCCAGGATAGACTGGTCCTTGGAGAAGGACATCATGCTTGGAAGGGTGGAGGGCAGTGCCAGAGAGGAAGACCCCAGATGAGATGGGTTGATACAGTAACTGGTTCGATGAGGGTTGGTGTGTTGAAATTAGTGAGACTGGTTCAGGACAGGGCAGAGTCCAGAGATGCTGTATGTAGGGTCACAGGTGACTTGATGGCACACAACAACAACAACAACAGTGGCATAGTGGTTAAGTGCTTCGCTGTTAGCGGAAGTGTCTGTAGTCTGGACCACCAGCCGGTCCACAGGAAAAAGAGCAGTCATCAACTGAAGATTAACCCACTACCCCTGAGTTGTTTCTGACCCATAGTGACCCTCCATCTCATTTCCAAGATTGTGAATCTTTACAGGAAGGGACTGTCCATCTTTCTCGGCAACCTTGGAAAACTCCTATGGGTTATTCTACTCTGGCAGTAGGTTGAGTTTTATAGTATCAATTAAAATGTAAGCCTGTTGCTATAATGCTTGGACCAGATGAGGTAGTTGTTCTCATTTTGAGCAGTTTATCTATGAAGAAGGAAGAAAGTAAGTCCTGATACACACGTGTGCACATGCACACACTAGTACACGGAGTTTAAGACTCATGATCAAGGGAGAGGGGTTTTGGTGTTATTGTTTAGTTTATTCATTTTTAGTTTTTTTTACAGTTCAGAAGAACATTTTCCGAATACTGTTTTCACATGCCCATTCAGCCCGTTTGGGAAAAAACCAGTCTCTTGTGCTGATGATTCTGTGGCCAAAGAAGCAGGTCTGATGGGTTCCCCAAGGGTTCTGCCTTCCTGTTCCCGTCCGTGACCCTCCATCCACCTTCCAGAGTGCTACACGCATCAGTGTTGTGTTTAAAGATGTTGGAATTTGCTGGGTTTTGTTCACAGAATCCCAACAGTGGAAGTGATGCTTGGCTTTTAAATTAAATAGATTAAATTGGAGATTATTGTGCAGCCCCAAATAACTCCACTCACTCAAGAGAATTGAAGGGGCTCTGTGTTTCAGTACTTTGCTTCTTTACTAGGGACCCAAGCTGCTTACTCAATAGCCCTCCTTCCTCTCCAGTGGCCCATTAAGATTTGCCTATTGGGTGGTAATTTCCCCATACGTTTTCTTAATCAGGAGAAAAAGATGGGAAGGGGCGGGGTGGTGGGAGCCTGCTTACATTTTGAGCTGCAGCCTCTGGAGGCAAGCCTGGAGCAGACTGTTTAGTTCCGTGTCCCCTGCCCCATTCAGGCTTTGGCATGTTTTGAAGCTTTCTTTAGCATTCCCCAGCACATCTCTCAATAGGCTGGAGCCCAGCTATGGTTAGCTGAATGCCCACCCGGCACAATGCACTGAATGTTAATGGTGCTGGCTGGCCTCACCGTCACAGGCGAGACAGGGGCTTCCACACCAGCCCAGGCAGCTGCCTCAGACCCAGAGATGGAGTCCCACTGGCGTGCTAACGGAGTCTGCTTGCTGTCTTGCAGATCTACACGGACTGGGCCAACCACTATCTAGCCAAATCAGGCCACAAACGCCTCATCAAAGATCTCCAGCAAGATGTGACGGATGGTGTCCTCCTCGCCCAGATCATCCAAGTTGTGGGTAAGAGCAGATTTTAAGTGTTGGGGGTGCATGAGTTACTGCTGAGACCAGAGGGGTTGAGCAGGGTGAAGGGGAGGGAGCACACTGAGCTCTTTCTAAGAAATAAGCAGCGCTTCTCACACATATGTTGATAATTTATTTTTCTAAATGGTTTCTGTGCTCTGGGAGTGCGGCTGTCCGCTCACTTTTCCTAATAAGCTCACACACAGCAGAAGGAAGTCTGGCGAAGGCCAGAAAGCGATGCTGAGGGTTTAGGGGAGGATGTCTTTACCCCCCTGCTTGCCTTCCCTCATCTTCCTGGCCCTTTTCTCACCATCCTTTCACCTCTGTCCGTACTTTTTAATAGATTACTCTGGAAATGTTTCAAACAAGCAACATAAGCAGCATGGAGTGGGTGTAATCCTGCCAACTCTAATTGGGTCTGAGAAATCAAAGGCTACACTCTGGAGAGGGTGGCTCTGGTGTTCATGGTGGGGGAAGGGAATGGGGCAGTGGGATTCCTGATGCTTGGGACGTGCTGGGGGGGTGGGAAGGGGTGAGGGTTCTTCCTGCGAAGGCACATGGGCACTGGGCGCTGCTTGGGGCTCAGGGGAAGCACCCAGCGGCCCTGCCAGAGCAGACCAAGCAAGCAGGCAGGAGGTCAATTAGGCGGCATTAGGCTGATTGTTGTCACTGGCAGCCGTGGCAGCAGACTCAGGCCAAGGAAGAAGGCGCAGGGAGAAGCCCAGAGTCCGCAAGCTTGTGAGTTACCTCAGGGTGAGGAGTGTCTCCTAGTTGCTGCGCTGCTCGAATCTCTGGAGCTTCTGCCTGAAAACACGGTTTCACTTTATTTAAAATTCAGAACTGCCATTCTTACTGAAGAAGAAACTTCCCTGCCAGCTTAAGAGACATTTTAAAAAATTTATTTCTTCGAGTGAAAGTTTACAAGTCATATTGACTTTTTATTTAAAAATTTCTTTTATTTGTGTGAAAGTTTATAAGCCATATCGGCTTTTTATTCAGTCGTTGATGCACTTAGGTTTTATAACATGAATTACAGTTGATGAATGTAATTAATTGACAACAACATCTTATCAAATATTTATTGTATACTGCCATTCCTTTTACCCAGCTTACCTGGTAATTAGTTTTTGTTCACAGCCTGTTAACCTTCCATGATTGGTTCTGTGTGTAAATGTTTCTTCAGTGTTTAATATTATTAGTCTTTCACAAGAATTGTCCTTTTGTGACTGACTTCTGTTTCTCAGCCTAATTTGTTCTAGACTCACCCCAGTGTGCAGTAGTGCACAAATTCTTGATCATTTTTTAGTGATGTATAATACTCCATTGTGTGACTATACCATCGTTTCTTTAGCCATTTGTCTGCTGAGGGACGCTTCGTTTTTTCCAACTCTCTGCAGTTATAGGGAATGCTGCATTAAACATGGGTGAAGATAGATTTGTAGAGTTTACTGATGCTCCATCTCTTCAAGCCAGCCGCACCCTAATAGCAAGCCATCACAAACAGCAGCTTCAGAGAGACCCGTTTGCTCTCCCTCACTTCCTGTGGGTCAGGAATGGCTCAGCTGGGTGACCCGCTAGGTTGCAATAAAGGCAGAGAGGCTCAATGAGGGAAAGGTTTCCTCACAGACGGACTCAGGGTTTTGGCAGAATTCATTTCCTCACAGTTGTAGGCTGAGGGCTGTCATTTCTGGAAGGGCAGGAGACCCCACCCAGCTCATGTTGACTTCAAACATGGCACTCAGTTTCAGTAAGAGGAAATTTTTAGAACACATTGAGTAGCAATACGGACCGATTATTATGATAAAGGTAGTTGAATGTCTTATACCATGCAAATGGTATTCCATAGCTCTTGTCCTGTTCCTATCCTATTGGTTAAAAACAAGGCTATATCATAGTCACATAACTGTGGGTAACCCACATTCAAGGGGTTTTGGTGTGGTTTTTTTTCTTCTTGTTGTATACCATCTACATCCACATTCAAGGGGAGACAATTACACAAGGCCAAGAATGAGTGCCAAGTGGGAGGATGTTTAGGGGTCACCTGAAGTCTTGTTAGTCTTATTCTTTTGCTTTTTTTTCATCTTCTTCCTCCTACTAGTCATCACACCTACCAACCTCTTAAAATTTGTTCTCATTTAATCCCTATGGAGTAGGGAGTAGCCTCCCCCCACCCCCAGTATTTCAGGTAAAGGAAGGCTTAGTAACCTATTACCCCATGACTATTCTTCTGAATCTTCTGAGGTATTTCCCTGCTGATATTTTTCCTTGTCTGCTTCTAGAGTCACTGAGCCCAGCATAAGTTTCTATCTGCCTTCACTTCAGTTCATTAAACATTTAGTGAACACCTACTCTGTGTCAGACCTCGTGATCCATGTTGTGAATAAAGAGAGGCATGGGCAAGGCTCAGAGCCTTAGACGTGATTCCGTCTGCAGGTATGGGTCTTCATGGAAGGAGTGACTCATATGGGCTGGCCTTTGATGTCCATATCAGCAGGGTTACCCCACCCATGGCTACTCTGAACAAGGCTTTGAGCTTCCCCACTTTTCAGCTCAAGCAAGAGGATAAGTGTAGGAAGGATTATGCTGACAAGCTTTGCTCTCATCCTTTCCAGCTATGGGAGTGTCACTTAACTCTTGCTACCTCAGTTTCTCCATCTTTAAAATGGGGACAACCATGCCTTCTTTGCCTGGTCTCATACTTTTAAAAAAAACAAGTTGGGTATCAAATATGAACCATGTTTGCAAACTATGAAGTATTTCTGGATAGCAGTTTGTTAGCAACTGCCTGGAAAACTATGAAAGTATATGACGTTTCCCTGTCTGTGTCTCGGTATGTCAAGACAGAGTAGACATGTTTGTTAGAGCCTCAGAAGCAACAAGTGGAAGCATGATGTTATAAATTTATTAAATACGGTGTTACAAAAGCATAAACCAGTAGTTTCTACCATTGCTCATAAAGATGCTTCTCTAAGTCCATTCAGATGAGATGAAACTCCTAGACAGACATTCCTGGGAGGGAGCTCAGGTTCATTCCAGACGCCCAGCCCAGGCTACCCTAAGGGCCACTAAGATGCATTCTCCCAGCCTTCCAGGAGCCGCTCGCTCTGACCAGGGACTCTTAGGGAAGGCCAGATGTCAGCACATGACTGGCGGCGACCCTGATTCTGCCCAGCCCACACCATGCTCTGTGTTTAGAGAACAGACACACAGAGACTTGAATTGACAGGTAAACATTGTCATTTCCTACCTGTCTTCATTTTCTTAATAGCCAAGTCAGAGCATGTGGGAAGAAGCTGTTTTGCAATCCCAAAGACATGTGGTTCAAATCCTCCAGGTGCTCTCCATGGGAGACGATGGACAGTCTCCTTCCTTGTGATTTAGTGCCTCTGTAAACCCTCTGGTGGCCCGTGTAAGGGTCGGTTCTGACTCAGTGGGACACAAATACAATGTTAACGTGTCTTATGAACATAGGTCTCTCCCAAGAAGGAAGAGCATTATTCTCTGACCAGGATTCTGAGTTGCTGGGCATGTGTACTGTTCACTTTTAAAGAACGTGCTTATCACACACAAGTGCCAGTTAAAAAATTGCAAAGTCATACTTTTGCATCATACAAGTGTTTACTGTATACATAGATAGATGCATGTGAGTGGGACTGTGTAGGTGTATTCTGGGGAAAATGACAGGTGTCTTTGTATATTTGTGTATATTGTGCTGTTGTTAGGTGTTGTTGAGTCAGTTTTAACTCACAGTAACAACAAAACCAAACACTGTCCAATCTTGCACCATTCTCACAGTCAGTGCTATGTGTAAGCCCATGATTATAACCAATGTTTTTGTTTGTTTGTTTGTTTTCCAAGCCTCTTCTTTGCCAAGCATAATGTCCTTTGTGGTTATTGTTATGTGGTGTCGAGTCAGTTGGTGACTCATAGTGACCCTAGGTACAACAGCTCTGAACCCTGCTCTACCGTGAGCCAATCTTATTGTCTGGACACACCTACCCCCACAACCCCAGTGATTGAATCAATCCATCTTGTCCAAGGTTTTCCCCTCCTATGCTGTCCCTCCATCCTCCCCAAAATGATGTCTCTCTCCAAGAACTGGTCTCTCCTTGCAAAATGCCCAAAGAATCCTTGCCTCCAAGAAGCAGCCTGGTTTTACCTTCTCCAGGATGAACCTGTTTGTTCTCCTTACAGCCCATGGTATATTCAGCACTCTTCCCCAGCACCACAGCTCAAAGGCATCACTTCTCCTTCTCTCATCCCTAGTCATTGTACAGTTTGCTGATGCATAGCTAGTAACTGCGAAGATCATG